TTATTCAGCATATAGGTTGAATAAAGACATATCTTTGTCTTCTTGTTTCCACCCAGAGTGCTTATGGTTAAGATGGGCATAAGATCTTAATAAAATAAAGTTCAATAAAATAAAATAAATAGAAATAAAATACTCCCTCTTCTTCTGTACCTTTAAATAACTGAATGGGTATTTCATCCACACCTAGCCATTTCTTACCTGACAGCTTATGTATTGCCTGTTACACCTTGCTTTCTAGTAAAGTTGGTCCCTGAATATATTCTCTCTCCACAAACATTTGTCATTCTATAATCCTATTTTTAATGTGTTTCTGTAAAGTCTTTCAATCTTCCTTTAATCTGTTAGATTTCTTCTTTGCCTTTATTAGATTTTTTCTACTCTTAAGCAATTGTATCATAGCTATATATTTTTCTGTGATTTTTCTAACTTTTTTGAAACATTTATCTTTTTCTTGTTATTTTCCTCTGTATACTTTAAATGTGAAAATTCCCATGTTGCTGGTTTTAAATGAATTTCCCAAGTTAAAATTATAGAGCTTCTAATGGTCTCTGAAATTATATATTTCTCTGTAGTCTGCAGCGCTAATATTAGGTTTGGTGCCATTTTAACCAGGCTTGCTGCTTGCAAGGGTATTCTCTTTTCCATGCTAAATCTTCTGATCACAATGTTAGAATAACATCACATCTCAAAAACAGGAAGATGTTTTTCTTGCCAAATATTGCACTGGTTTTGAAATATATTTGACAAAACTGTTATTACCTTAGTATATTATAGCATGTGAAGAATTTAAGAGTGGGCTTTTAACAAATGAGAAAATTACTTTTATAATATGAAAGTAATAGCTTGTGAGATTTCAAGCAATGACTATTGAGATATTTTTCACATTAAGATTTATCAGGAAATATTCCTGAATCAGTCATCTTATTTTAAGCCTTGTGTATTTCAGTGATGATCTCTCTGAGCAGATACGAATAACAATCTTCAGTGGAGAAAACAACTGAGTTTTCAGAAGGTGAAAGCATTAAACAGACTTAAATGGAAGAGTCCTACTGTTTGTTAAATACTGTAGTAACTTGAGCATTCACTCTAATTGAGTTCTTTTGAAATGCATGGCTTTACCCACAAGATGGCAATGTTGAATAAAGTTGCCATAAAATAATTGGAGCTTCTTAGTTTGAGATCCAGTGGGCTATACACTTGGTTGAGTTGAAATGCAAGGCAAAGCTCAAGCCAGATCTGCAGATTGCAACTTCTGTCTAATATATTTTTAAATATAGCTTTGGAATTCAGTCCAGGTTGTGTAGGAGGTGAATGAAAGCTCCAGCATGAAGAACATGAATGGAATCCAGTTTCAGCTGCATTCTGAAATTCTTGCTGGCAACTGGTGGCAAGCCCAAGTACTATGGCATGGGTATTGTTCCAGGCTACCCACATATGAGCCCCACTGAATGTTGCTATTGCTGCTGCCAGTGCTAGAATTTATGACTGACTCTCCAGTTGGTCTCAGGAAAAAAAGTAAACATATTTTCAGGAAGGTAGTAGGGGAGGTCATAACGAACTTATTCTGGTTACAGTTAGGCTTTGTTTGTGTGTGCTTTTCAACTGAACCACTTCCTACGCCTAAATTAAGTTACTTCAGTGAGGAATTCAAGTTGCCAGTGAAGCTGGTGATGCTCTGTCCCTTCAGCTAAATTAGTTCCCGATCTCCTGGGAATTGCTGGCCTGGATCGGGCATCCATACAGGTGTCCTGGAATTGGTCTAATGTTATTAGGTTTCCCCTCAATATTTAGGACAGGAAATTAGTGTCTTGGGGGTGTGGGGAAATTACACAGATGCCTGGGTAGCTTCACAGTTAGTGTATTAGACTAAGGGTAACCCATGTTCCAATCCACTCTCAGCCATGAAAGCATACCAGGTTATTTTGAGCAGTCTCCTTTCTTCCAGCCCAACCTATAGTATCTCACATGACTTCTCCTTTGAGGAAAAATGGGAGAAAAAAGTTCTATATACAATTTCCTGTAAATATAACAAACATCTGTTCCCAAAGTTCTATATTTAGGAGAGTGAAGAGCAGACAATTTGGGGGAAAGGGATAAAGCAATGGTGGTTGAGGAAGCCTGAAAACCATCTGAGGAAGTGACAGAAGAGGAGGCAGCGGAGAAGGTAGTGAGAAAAAAAGAGTAGGGAGAAGAAATTCTTCAGTAAACAGAGAAGGAATTACTGCCACCGCCACCACCAGCACCCTGGAAACCATTGGATGGAATGCAAACAAGAGGCAGAAGGCCAAGCTGTGCAGAAGATGATCTGATTAAAGAATGAAGCCCGATTAACCTACACACTCTTATTTTGGAAAGGAAGCAGGTGAAGGGCTCCAGTCTTGAAGTCATTCTTCTGGCTACTTTTGCCCCTTATGGATATTGCAGACAGAGTCCCCAGTATCAAAGAACTGTCTGGTGGGATAAACTTCAGCAGATATCGGGTGGGAAGTGTTGGGCCAGATCTTGAAGTTAAGGCTCCCAGGTGATTTTTATCCAAAGCCAAAATGAGCAGTTATGCATATTTGCTGCAAACCTGTTAGTAACAAAATCACATGTTGTTCTGATCCTAAATGAACAGTGCTAAATTGCTGTGCTACCTAATGTTATGCCACATAGTTGACCATGGGTTTTATGTCTGTATGTTTTACTTCACTTAATAGTTAACTGTATTCACTCTTCCAATAGAAGATAATATATGTAGCTCAGGGTTGAACTGTGGAGTCCTTGGGGTTCTCTGAGCTTGGTTGTTTGCTTCCAAACATTACCCAATTAGGTAACATCATCAGTGCTAGTGAGTGTGGGGTTTGCTCTCTGTTTATATGCAGTAGCTTGCCCTGCCACTGTTAGTGGGGGTGTGGTTTTCTCCTTGGTAGTTCCTTGATTAGGGTATTGTTTTCTGCTCGATTGTTTGTCTGGTATTTATCCCTGCTTATCTGGATGTAGACTGCTGGAGGGGATAAGTTCTGGTCTTTTTGTTTCCTTCTTAGCTTTTTTATTGTCTCTTTTGAATGGTGTGTAAATGTGGTTTATCTCTATTGTTGGCTGATTCACTCTTTCAATCTGCTTCTCCTCATCCATAATATAGGATTTAGAAAGCACTGTTTTGACGATTTCCAAGTTAAATGTGCATATGTTCATCTCTTTACTGACCTGCAGCAAGCTAATAGGCTTACCATTGTGTAATATTACCTTAGTCCTATCCAGTCCTTTATTTTTCTATTTTCAGTGTAATAAATTATTTTACATAAACTCCAGAACTAGATAAAGGCTGCAATTTTTTATGGTTATTAAATTTCAAATTAATAAATTGAAATATGGGCAAGGTTTAAATTACTTCTCAGTGAGTCCTATATCTGAAAGAAAGACTCCTTTCTTGATGTTTTAAATAGCTCAGCTCTTTCTTGCTTTATGTTTTATTTTTTTTTTCTACTGTCACATTTATCTGCTTCCCATTCTGAAAGAGTAAAATTTAAAACCTGAGCAAGGTTGGCCTACAAATGGGCATTGGCTCACACACACACACACACACACACAAACACACACACCATTTGAGTTGACAGGAGATCTGATTTCACCAGATTACTAGCATGGGGCCTTGAGACCAATTCCAATAGCAAATGAAACCTATGCTGAAAGGCCAAAATAGACAGAATTAATATTTTGTTTTCCCAAAATGCTTTTTCTGTATAATCCTTTTAATATAATGGCTTAAATGTAAAGTTAGTCTGTGTCTTTTATCATTTAACCACAAGGTTTAGGTGCTAGATGATTTCTGATTTACCTCTTAGGTAGAATATTTTGTCTGGCTGAAGCAAGAGTCATTCTCCCCAGGGAGGCTGGTTTCCAATTATCCTACATATTTTATATAACTGAGGAAAGAAAAAGGGTCTAACAACTTGCAATCAGAAGGCCCAGATGTTCTCTCCAACCATCCTCTCTGTAATGAAATTTGAACATGTGCTGAACCCCAAGATCTTATCCAAGCTGTTAATGAGTAACCAGTTTAACTAAATTGACAGCACATATTTTACACAGAATTCTCTCAGTGTCAATGTTGCCTTCCTTTGGTTTTCCTGAGTTTCTTTTTCCCAGTAAACTTTTTATATCTACAGATCTGGCTTCATTGCTTCAACAAGAAACTAATCATAAAACCTTCCTTGTGTGCAAGACTGAACAGTTTCACAGCTATTCTTATGTTTCAGAACAGGCACAACGTTTGTTAAATTCTGTGTTTCTGGGCTTTGAGAAGGAAAACACAAAGCATCTTCTCTTCCATTTTTCCTAGACCTGGACAAAAGGGAGAAGTGCTAAGAACTCTCTAGCTAGATAGACTAGGAGGTTTAGCCTGACTGGTAGCAACTTATCATAATGGCGAGGCTTAAATGGTCCCCTTGCACAGTGCAAAACAGACCAATATTCTGAAGTAGCATTTTTAAAAAGTTAACTATAAGACCATAGGCAAAACTGTTGTTTATTACTGGAGTGGTATAGGGTTTTATGAGATGGGGTGGGTAGTCTTAGAGAAGCTGCTCTTAGCTTTAGGGAGTCAAGGCCCATATATGTGGCTAATGATGCAAAGTGGTTAAGTGAGGTGGGTTTCAGATTTTTTTTTTAAGTAATAAGTATATTTTAGAACTGACTTAATAATGTTTGGTGTTTCTTCCTGAAAATGATGGAAATCGACTGATTTTTGGCAATTGTAATCTGGATGGGCTCAAGTAAGCCAAAAAAAAAAAAAAAAAGGTACAGTGGTACCTTGGGATACGAACACCTCTACTT